ACACAATCAAATGCCTTGCTGTAATCAATAAAACAAGCCTGAAGTTCTGCGTTATATTCTCTGCATTTTTCGAAAAATTATTCTTATATTGAAGATGTGATCCCTAGTCCCTCTACCATGTCTAAAACCCACTTGTGCTTCATGAAGCTCATATTGCAATATCCTTACGATCCTCCTAGTTTGTAAGAGGATTTTGCTAGCATCACTTATTATTGTGATGGTACGGTAGTTGGAGCATGGTTTCAGATTTCCTTTCTTTGGGAGAGGAATATAGATTGTTCTTTTTCATGCTTCAGGCCAAATGCCACTGTTCCAAATCTTCCAGCACAGTGCATGGTAGATTCGGACGCTGGCCTCTCCTCCTGCTTGAATTAGTTCTGCTTTTATTTCCTCGCAACCTGGTGACTTTCCTTTCTTCAGGCTGTGTATTGCTGATCGTACCTGATCCAGTAAAGGCTCTGGTTCTTTTTCATATATATATATATATATATATATATATGAAAAAGAACCAGAGCCTTGTACATACATACATACCTTGTGTAATGACACACGTAATTATATATAGTCAAGTCAAATACCATTGTTAGCGCCAGTGAAAGCAGTGATGCTTTTTGTCTCACACATATCGAACCGTAGCCCAGTGTCGTGGTTTTACGTATTTGTCTTGCGATTTTCAGGTGGCTTGGATGATGAATCTGTTCATCTTTTTTTGTGTCTTTTGTTGCAGGTTTCAGGTAAACCATTTATCCGCTTCTGTCTTGGTCATCCCCTCGCCTTCCTTCCAGATGTTCTGTTAAAAATGTCTCATATGCAGTTTGGTTTGCTGCATCGTAAATTGGCCGAAACATTTTTCATTATTTGTTAGTCAATATAATTGACACACGGTCTTGTTCCAACATTTTCGCTAATACTTTGATTATAAACACTGTGCCTTTTTGTGTATCGATTCGGTTCACCTCTTCTTCCAGGTACCATATCTTTACCTTAGATGTTACGTCTCTCTACACATCTATTACACTTTCTTATGGTCTCTAGGCTTTGCGGCTCTATTTAGATCGCAGAGTCAGTCCTTACCTTTTTATACGTCTTACCGAGTTAGTGCATAATCTCAACTCTTTCGAGTTTAATGGCCACTATCTCAACCAGATCAAGAGATCGCCATGGACACCAAAATGGGACCCAGCTATATCCGCCTATACTTTGTTCCATTCCTTTCTCCCAGCTTTTACGCCTCCGCAGACTGTGTCAAGAGAACGGCAACTTTCACCATAAGGTCCTGGAATTGCTGGACTTCTTCCGGCGTCGAAGTTATTCTAAACACGTCTTGTCTGCTGCCTTTTACCGATCACGGTTTATCAGTTGTGTTGAGGCTCTCGTTTCCGAGCTTAGACGTCACCACAAAAGACCTATCCTCATACTTACCTACCATCCTCACAACATCTGTGCCATAAATATTCTTATCAAGCATCTCTCCATCCTTAGAGCTGACTATGCTACCAGCACGATTTTCTCTGAACTTTCTCTGGTGGCCTACAGACATGACCGTAACTTCAAGGACGCTCTTTTCAAGAGTCGGTTAACTCCCACCGGTATCCTGCCACAGACCTGTATGCAAGCCTTGCCCATATGTGGTGCAGGGGAGAAGTCTGGAATTCCAGAATGCCACCTTCCATAAACGTGAGGCATTGTATAACAGGAGCCGCAATGTTATCTACACCATCAGCTGCAAGAGACTGGCTGACAGGTTCAGACATCTTTTGGATGTGGAGAACGGTGCCCTGAAACCAGTACCGTTGCTTTTCAATTCTCAGGATCACTAAGGTGCCAACGACATGGAGGTGACATCATAAGATCTAGCCACTTAAGCGACAGAGATCCCAAGTCTACCGAGAATCGCTTTATTTTCACCTTAGGGACCCAAACACATAGAAGCCTGAACTGTCGACATAAATTCTCGAATTACAGCGCTCAGGATTTCTGGGCTATTTAGTCTTGGACTACATGTTTTTCTTTATTCCACTGACTAGAAATCAAAGTGGCTGCTTCGGGATACGTCAGCAAGTGATTTTGTGAATTCATGTGTTTTTGTCTAATTCATGCATGTGCTGATAAAGGCTCTGTAGCCTCAACGTTCACTTCTCGTTTGTTTTTGTTATATTGTGTAGCTCGCTAATCTACTTTTTATTCGGTTGTATATCTTTAGTGACAGCGTGTTTCACAGGTGTTATCTTCTGTTCCAGTGCCCGCCTCATTGTCCATGCAGTGACGCTAAACCAATATCTTTACAGACCATTCGTGTGGACGATATGTACAACCCCCGCATTCACTTCCCAGAAAACTTACCTGGTAACAATTCCAGGTCGGGTCGACGGGGAGCTAGGTCAATTACGAAAAAATCTGCGGATTCGAACCAAAAACCTACTGTCTAAAAAGCAGACATCTAGCCACTACTTTACTGCGGCTTCAGTGTCATATATTACTAAAGGTGAAAACAACAACAACAACAACAACAACAAAATAACCAAACCTGTTGCGAAACTGACCACCAGCCCAACCGCCCAACAGATAATCATTCCAAGCCCAGTGTAGTACATGTAAGACAGTTTATATAGGTCCAGTACAGGACTGCTGCAACGGTAGAAATTCAAGGTCATTATAATATATAACTTTTAACATTGTTAACAAAGCCATAGAGTTCCTCCTAGAGCAACTCCTTCAAGGAGAATGAAAAGAAGAAGATGTTAACAACGATGTAAAACTGATACAGAACATTTAAGATGACCAACTTAATAAAATCGACGCACCACAGTGGCATGTACACAATGAAAACGTGGGAGGGTAAGGGGCTTGGATAAGAGTAGGACTCAGATCCTTCATAGTGTATCTAGCAGTAGAAGCTCATGGGGCAAAGCCTTGCTTAAGTGCGTAATTATATATATATAATATTGTTCTTGTTAACCGAGTTCGTATTATTCGTATATGTATATATATATATATATATATATATATATATATATATATATATATATATATATATATATATATATATATATATATATATATATATATATACACAGTAGAACCTCGCTTAACGAGCACCTCTCATAACGAGTAATTCGCATAACAAGCAAAACAAATTGTGAAAGAATGACTTGCGTAACGAGCGACGTTTCGCATAACGAGTGGCGTGGAGAGGGAAAGTCCCAGATTTTGCGCATGTTACATCCGTGGTTTCAAGAAAGCCGACCGTCTAGATAGCAATGGCAAACTACTGGACGTAATTTTGCCTAGAAAAACCACACAACAACCAGGGGCTGGTGGGGTTGGTTCTACAATGTCATGTAAAGGATACGCAACTAACCTTACATCAGTGTTTAGCACTCGTTCCAGTAGCATCGTAGTGTCGCTTGTGATCACACATTTTCTCAAACTTGTGTTATATTGTGATAAATGTACATGAATCCTCCAGGCCTACAAGATGACCTCTCTGAAGAATTTAAGTTAATCAAGATCCAGTTTCTGCCTCCCAACACCACTCCGTTACTCCAGCCAATGGACCAGCAAGTTATTTCTAACTTTAAGAAGCTCTACAATAAAGCACTCTTCGACCATTGTTTCCGGGTGACTAAAGGGACCAACCTCACTCTCAAAGAGTTTTGGAAAAATCACTTCTACATCGTTGCCTGACACAAGATAACCGACAAGGCGGGGGAAGGGGTTACCAAGAGAACCCTAACTTCTTCTTGGAGGAAGCTTTGGTCGGAAAGTGTTGTCGATTTGTTACTTTGAGGGGTTCGAGACAGTACCTGTGGAACCTGTAGTCAACGAGATTGTGTCTTTGGCCACTATCATGGGATAGTAGGTGGATAACAGTGATATCAAAGAGCTTGTGGAATAGCACAGCCAAGAGCTGACCACCCAAGAGCTTATGGAGTTTTGGAGGAAAGTTTGTCAGAGGAGGAGGAGGAGAAGGTAACAGAAAAGCAACAATCTTCTGGCGAAATAAGAAAAATGCTGAAAGCATGGCAAATTGTTGCTTCTCACATTGAGGAGCATCACCCTAATAAGGAAGTGGCTATGCGCGCTGCAAATTTAATGATAATGCTGTGTTGCATTTTCGCCAAATTTTGAAGCTTTGACAAAAACAAATGTCTCTAGACATCTTTCTAGTAAAAAAATAATTAGCAATGTATCGTAATTATTTTGACTTTTTTTTTTCTGCAAATTGAATTCGCATTCCATGTGGGTTCGTTCCGCGTTTTAAGAAAAGATGAAGATGATTCAGTCTCCATAAATATGTATATAATTTTTCTTTGAATAGATGTTATAGTATAACTTATATATAGCATTTTGTGAGTTTTTTCGACATGGAACGCATTATTTTATTTTACATTATTTTTATGAGAAAAATTGCTTCGCATAACGAGTGTTTCGCTTAACGAGTATGATTCTGGAACGAATTATGCTAGTTAAGCGAAGTTCCACTGTATATTCATATATATATATATATATATATATATATATATATATATATATATACACACACAGACACACTCGTGTATATAATAAATATTTAATGTGCTGAATGGTTCATGAATATAACAAAAAATATGAAATTATATGACATTTTTAAACAAAAAAGAACGCAGTGGGTAGGTAGGTAAGTGCTTTACTAGAAAATAAATACAAAGTAGTCACCTTCAACCAGCATCCCCTAAGGGAGAGATTTAGGCTATAATTGTGACTGGGTTATGTGCGCCCCATACAATTGCTTAACACTGCACGCCATCAAGAGCGCTGAAAGGGACTTTTGCAGTATTGCTGCGATCTAAGGAAACAGACCCAAATACTGTCCTGACCGGCGACGAAGTCGTCTACCTGTGAGCCAATGGGCGACCCAGACTCTTATGTGTGGAATATAGTACATTTTTATATCGATAGAAGCGCTCACCCCTCCCCCTATCACATGCAGAACACAATTTTTCAATCAGCATGAGCCCCTAAGTTCTGGCGACTATGACATACCTGTGGTTAGCAGTCCCATTGACAACCGCTGTCAAGTTTGCAGCAGATGCTGGTAACGGCTTGGCTGTAAAATTGCAGCCTGTGACATAGGTTGGGGAAAGGAGCGCTCTTTCACCACTAACGAAAGCCCCTATCCCTATCCAGAATAAAAAAGCAAGTGACGCCAACAGTCCACACATGGCACCCTGCGAAGCAACGAAACAAAGATTGATGTTTTAAAAGCTAACAATAATATTTATATGACGGCTGCACATTCAAGTGTGTATAATATCCGAGGGAGTCTGAATGCGTGGGGTAGAATCCTTTACTTTACTTACGTAAACACATATCAAGGCTCGCACCCGATGCCTCTTCAAAAGTTGACACTGAAAGGTAGAACAGCACTAGGGAAGAAGACGAAAAATAAGAAATAAAGAAGGATAAGGAGATATAATGCTCCCGTATATGTCCTAAATAAAAATAAATAAAAGTGGCCGCATTGTGATTGGAAAGCCGGCCAGATAGATACGGAAGACATTCAATACTAACATCAAATACAACGCAATTAAAAATATATGCAAAGTATATGCAAATATGCATTCCCACGTGGGGTGCACACATTTCTGTGTGTGTGCCCGCGTGTGTGTGTATGCACGTGTGTGTGTAATTGTTCATGCATGTCTATATCTATGTATGATAGGCTCCAGAACGCCAAAGACTGCTGCTGAGCAGCTTAACGAATTTGGTGTTTGTTCAGCCACGGCCTACTCTATTTATAGGCCAAACAGGTCAACGGGAATTCCTGTTCTTGTGCAAGAATGGAGTCCCTCTGTGTCCACAGTTTTTATCGAAGAGATGTAAACACAAATTAAACTACAGTTTCAATAATTTTCGACGTATTTTGTAGAACTATACACTATTTTAAAGGTAAATAAGTGTGCTATTTAATTATAACAATAAAGGCTCTTACAGACAAACAAAAATGCTTTTGCTACAGTCAAAATGAACATAATCATCAATAACGTTTGGAAATAAACTGAAAGTTATTTCAGCAAAAGTAAGGAAATATCAGTGCTAACTCTTTGATTCTGAGAGGGTATTGTTGCATCAGAGGAGCCGGGGGGGGGGGGGGGAGGGGGAAGGGGTGACATTTGTATGTTATCAAAAATACTGCTGTGAAACATACACATGTCATACATAACATACATATAAATGATTGATGGTTATTATTACTATTAGTAGACTACAACAACATATAATTATACTGTTATTTAATAATTAGTAAACAAGCTCAGTCAATATAAAATTAATATGTGCGATACAGTAAACAAGCTCAGTCAATATAAAATTAATATGTGCGATAACTTTTTACCCAGAGCAGTTTTCTTAACAGTACTTATAGCACTTCTAAATATTTATCCTCAAGGTACAAACAGCACAAACAAATTTGTCTAGTTTCATTTTGTTGGCTGAAATCAATTCCTTATCTTGTGAACCTTTTGGTAACTGTTTGAAAAAATACATTACACATATTTCTGAATACTGCATGCAACAACGCGTTTAAGTATCACGAATGGTATATTATTTTAAAGGTAATTAAAGCAAATTAAAAAAGACCATATAACTGCAAATGCTGTGCAACATACACATATCAAACACCAAAATTTCCCATATAGATACCGGATCTCGTTGTTTAAAACAGTGTCTGGAACACGACTGAAGTCCAGAATTAGATGAACAACCAGAAGTTTCTGCCAGAGTTTACAGCCAGTGCTCGCGAAGCAGAAGACAATTCACAAAAATGAAAACAGACTGTACAACTGCAAATGTGGATGAGAAGTAGATGAACAACCAGAAGTTTCTGCCAGAGTTTACAGATAATGTTCACGAAGCAGAAGACAATTAAAAAAAAAAATGAACACAGACCGTACAACTGCAAATGTGCATAAGAAGTAGATGAACATCCAGAAGTTTCTGCCAAAGTTTACAGCCAGTGTTCGCGAAGACGATTCACAAAAATAATAATATTATTATTATTCTCCAGATATGGCTTCTAAATTACCTGTTTGTATTTTCCCCAAAAGTAAGATTTCTACATTCAAAGTAGAAAAAGAATAAACAGTCAGTTCCCAAAAATCCAAACTACTGACTAGAAACAGTGACATACACTCCACAACACGACTGTCTGCCGTGAATTTAAATTCAAATTGCTGTTATCTAACAGCAAAGTTTGAAAATCTTGTATATCCACTTCACAATATTCGCTTGTCGATTTGTAATACGAATACATTAAGAACACAGAACTTTGCAAGCATGTTAAAATGTCACACAATGCAACATGAAACGCTTTCAGTAACCAATTTTCGAGGAAACTCCGCCAAAATGTTCCGTGATTTAGTCAGAAGGACCTATATAATTAAGGACTTGGTTCAGCCAATACCTTGATTTAGTCTGGTTTACAAATGCTAAAAAGTCTGGCCACAGTGTATTAAAAAAAGCTAGCTCACTCACTATTTGGCTTCTTTTGGCTTCCGGATCGAACGTGTAGGAGACCTACCCAGCTGTTGTGGCTCTGCACATTGGGCTAGCTAGCGCGGGTACTGCAGGGAAAGGCCGGTTGTCTGGCTGATTTCGCGGCGGGGGTAAATTCCATAGTTAGCCCTGAAATTGTTTCTAGTAGTTAAACAGTGTAGAGATATGTCGGTGTGTATTCTCGCTAGGATGGCAGGACGCTAAATGTGATTTGTTGGTCTGGTGGCATATTGAAACTTAACGTACATGTTAAATATGTTTCGGTTTTGCCATTGTTGAGGTAATCTTGCTGAGCATATGGTGTCATTATCATACTTCCTTGTTAGCTGGAGATAATTAGAACTTTAGATTCTAGTCGAGCACGTTGGTTATTGTTAATGTATTAGTTGTGAAGTAGACGTTAATTCTGTGTTCAGTTCTGTAAAATAAACAGCTGTTTAATGTGATGGTTATAATTCATTTGCTTGATTCAATTTAAGATTTGTAGTCCGTGCACGTGGTTCTTTAAGGTGTGTGTAGCCGTGTAGTTAGGTTTTTGTCATGTAACTCACTATACAGATATTTTTCGTCTGGGTCTTTAGTGGAATATTATAGGATCCCTGCGCAGAAGAACCCTTGTCTTTTCTTTATTTTCCTGGTTTTGCTGTTTAGCGGCGAACTATTACTTTTTGTGTGTCCTAATCACAATTTTCCTTATCTCCCCTACTACGGTGTGTTTTTCCTTCTTTTTCTTCCCGCTAGCACATATGTATTTATATTGACTAGTGAACAGGCAGGAAACAATGGCAGCAGCGCTGGATCTCGAGAATGCGTACAATAGATTATGATACGACATTTTGATAACCGCACTGAGGGAGAATGAGGTCAGCCCCTGGTTGGGGAATTAGATTGCGGCTGTCATGTATTCTCTTCGGGTTGCTCTCTGCCTGGGCTCATAGACCTCAGAACTATGTATCATAACCCCAGGACTGCCACATGGTTTCGCCACCTCACCTGTGCTCTTTAATGTGTATATAAACAAGATTGCAAGTGTAGAAGCACCAGGAGTTTGAAAGATACTGACTTTTGCAAATGTTATAGTCGCATATAGGAAGGGAAGTGGGAGATAACAAACAGCACTGGGGCTGCAGGCAACAGTCGACAAAGTGATTGACTGGTGTACAGAAATGAGTGCTGTCGTCCATCCAGAAAAAGCGTCTGTTTTGTAGTGTTCTCTAGGCAACAGAATCGTTAGAGTTGATGTCCCGGGTCTTACGATAGATGGTAGAAACGTCAATAGAGAGAGCAAACTGAAGTATTGGGTAATCCCATTTGACAGGAGCCTGTCCTTCTGGACTATGTGGAGATGATTGTGACAAGATGCCAAAAAAGACTCAATGCACTTAAGACTATGGCTGCACTGGACATAGAGTAGAGAATGCTTTTCATACTATATCAGCACCTGATCCTTTCAGTGACTGAATATGGCCTGGGACTGCTTACCGTCTCAAAGTCAGATGGAAAAACTAGAGCGCATACAGAACGCAGCAATGTGAGTCATTCTGGCTTTCACCAGAGACACCTAAGCGGTGTGTATGCGATAAATCCTTGGTTTGCCGACTGTTTCAGATTGGCACAAGGTGCTGCAGGCGAAGTCAGATCTCAAGGTAGCTGCAGACACAGATCACTCTTTGAATGAAGCTCTGGACGCAGTTAAGGGTCAGCGACAGATAAGAGGACAGAAGACACAATCAGATAGGCCTGCAAGCCGAAGAACACTGGGCGAGAAGAGGAGCGGGTCAAAGTACCAACAGCCTGTATTCAAGAGAATGAGATCTGTAAAACTGATGCACATGCAACACTCAGGTTCTGGAGCAGGACTGCAGTTCAGTAGTGGACGAGCAACCAGAACTTTCCACCAGAGTGTACAGCTGGTGAACGCGAAGAAGAAGATATACATATATGTATATATTACATACCAACCCTCTCCCCAACAACCATCACCAAGTGCTAGAGTACAGGTCCAAGACACTCGTTAGGTGCAATTAACACTTCGACACTAACCAACATATTTTGCCAAAGAAACCAGACCGCAATTATAGCCAAAACTGCTCCTAGTAGATTGAACTTGGTCAATTTTTTTTTATTACGAAAGGAAAAAAAAATTGAAAGTATTCGGGTAGAAAGCAGGGATACTTAACAGTGTGAAAATCTAATTGAGAAAAAAATAGTACAAAACGAGAGCATTAAAAAAAAAGTATTTAGACAACAAATGCCAATTTACTAATGATGGCAAACAAGAAGATCATTTATGGATGAGTGAAAAAAAAATCATAAAACATGTGATACAAAGAAATACAAAAAAGAACACAAAACTTGCGTGTTTGTTTGCCCACGGGAAGAACATTCCTAAAGTAAACACCCCAAGAACTGGACCGTTGAGTATACCAAAAACTGTATAGACAGCCTGCAATAGTTATTGACAATTAAGTCACAATAAGTAATGGTCTGGTCAAGAAGCAGAGTCGAAATTAAAATCTACCTCTTGAAATTATTACATAAAGATTCAAATGGAAGGTCCTTTGCAATAGGTCGCTCTCCTCACAACCATTCTGTGAGAAACTATGTCGCAACATCCACCACCTTGTGCTCTTTCCAGCAACGATGTCACTTATATCCTGTGTTCAACTTTGTGCTGTTCGGCTCCTGCAACTCTTTCCTGGCATTGTGCTATCTGCTGCTATTCTGTCCCGTCTACAATGGCATTTCAAATTGTCAACATATTTCAATTTCTGAGAAAAGATGCAATTTACTAGCCAGTCGTCTTTGAAGTTCAGATCTTTTAGGATGTCAGCATGTCTTTTCTGATTGCAGAATCTTCCTATAGCATTTCAGCAACAACAACAAAAAGTCACAAATTTTCTGACTGACTGACTGACTTTCTACCCCACCAGGACATCACACAAGCGATAAACACCCGATGACACAAAGTGCCACCATGTGGATGAGGATCGCCGTGGAGAGGTCCCAGAAACCGCGTTCAGACATTTGGCCATATGTATGGCCTGTCTATATTGCGGCCCCTGGCAGAAGCCAGAGTAGGGCTTCAAATGACGAAAAATTTCGTCCTGAAAAGGACGATATTGAAAGTAATAGGGAACAAATTTTCTTCCTTAATGACTGCGAGATAGGAAAGATGCAAGCCAGCAAACTGTTGACCTTGATTTCACATTATGCTTACACTATATGTTCTTCTTCTTTTTTTTCCCCTCTTCCTACAATCTCGTCATCATGGTGTTGGGAGGTAGACGTAAGGATATTTCTAAAACGTAACATAAGCTGATCTTCAGTTATTTGAGGGCTTGAGGGTATTCTTAACGTCGTTGTGACATACCGTAACTCTGGATGGTCTCCCCCTGAAAACGTGTTTATTGTATTTCTCCAGCTATTGGTAACAGGACCTTCTCGTTAGAAGGTCAATCAATCTAATCTGTTGCACTTTAATGAACTGTATAGCTGGTTTCAGTCATTGTGAGCTTCTTAATTTGATCTCTTCTTGTTACTCCGGTAGCTTTTCTACAAATATGTATACTGTTAAAAAAAGGAACGCATAGTTACCGAAAGCAACAAACATACAATTTTGACATTCTGCATAATTTTAATGCAGTAAGTGAAATTACTCAAATTTCACACTAGAATACTTTAGGGTTCCACCAATCAATTGACAACTTTTTTTGGCATCTGGGTCACGATAGTTTTTAAGCGTAGGCCTTTCCCGTTAGTTTAGTGTGTGGTCTCCTCTTGCGTGGATCCGTGACTGGCATCGCCTGGGCATGGATATGATCAGATGTCTGATGTGGTCCTGTGGGATGGCTGCCAACTCTTCCTGGAGTGCCTGGAACAGATCATTACCATTGGCTGGAGCAACGTTTCGGCGACAAACACGACTTTGCAGCTCATCCCACAGGTGCTCAATCGGACTCATGTCTGCAAATAGGGATGGTTAGGGAAAAGTTTGAATGTTATTGGCAGCCAGGATCTGCGTGGTCAGCTGTGTAGAATGGGGTCTGGCGTTGTCCTGTTGAAAAAGATATCAGTTGGCATCCCAAAATGGAAGGACATGTGGCCGAAGAATTTCATGGACGTAACGTTGCGCATTCAAGCTTCGTTCAATGTGCACCAGTTGATTTCTTCGATGTAACTGATAGTTCCCCATACCATTACACCACCACCACCGTGCAGCAGAGCTTTATCAACACAATTTAGGGCTTAACCTTCATTTCGGCTATGGTAGACCCTACGCCGTCTATTATGATGCTGCAACAAAAATAAAGATTTGTAACTGAACCAGACACGTCTCCACTGATTGTCACTTGCTCAGGGACGATGTTGGTTGGCACAAACAAGTCCAATTTGACGGTGGCGACGCGTAAGGACAGGTCCTCGATCTGGTCGTTGAGCCCAAAGTCCAACATCATGCAGTCTGTTTAAACAGTTTGATCAGACAGACGGCGTCCTGTAGTCAATGCCTGTGCAGTTTAAGAAGCTGTTGTAAACCTGTCTCTAAGCTCACGAAGCCAAATAAAGCGATTCTCCGCTGCTGTTGTCACTCTAGGTCGTCCACTGCGATGTCGGTCTTCAACTAAACCAGTAGCTTAGAACCGAAGCCAAAGTCGACTGATGGTACTCTGATGCACGTTTAGATGCCTGGCAACCTGACTTTGACTTTCTCCTGCCTGTAATCGGCCAATATGAAAATTCCTTTAATTTATCACTAGAGGCTCCATTCTTGAGTGCTTGAAAATGAACTGATCGTTTTGGTGCAGCGTTATCTTTTTATATGGTTTCAATTGCGTAGGCGGTGAATAGTGTTCACTGCAAATTGTGTTGCTTTCTCGTGCGCATCGTGAGCTATGCTCACAAATATGGTCTTAAACAGAACTGACCACTGCGTTGTAACGATTACAAAAACACACGCAATTTACGCCCACATGTCCACTGGACATGGTAAGCAACATTAGAGTATGCTTTTTACATACCCGAGTAGGATATTTTATTTACAAACATAAAAAAGTCCATAGGATAACTGTGCGTTTCTTTCTTTGAACAGTATATATTAAAGATTATTAAGTAATAAAACACAAATGTTTGTTTCTGTTTCAAATTCTGGTTTTCTACAACATATCGTCTTCTTCTTGTTAGCTGGTTGTTCACCAAATTCTGGACTTTGGTCTCGTTCTATGACTTGAGTTTTCCCTGCACATTCGTTTTACAGAAATTGTTTCTTTGTATGCAGACTGTTGGTTCCTCGCCTCTCAGGCAGATGCACTCTAACTTCCAAGGAAACTTTCCAATAAGTCGTCGAAAGGCTTGTCGGCAGCTGGTCAATTCCCCTCCAACAGCAATGAGACCCTGAAGTGCACAAAGGGAACGCATACGCATCAAATAAAGAGGATCTGAAGAAGATACTGGGACTGACAGCATTTGTACTTAAAGAAATACAAAAGAGATAAGGACACGTTTCGCCCATTTCAAAAGACCCAAAACGCTTATAAAAACTGTAGTGGGGGGACAAGACGAAAGCAAGCAGGCAAGAGACAGCGATACAAGTGGGAGGATACTAAGCACAAGATAGGCGAAGTGTAGTCTCAGAAAGTCTACACCCAGAGCTAGAGACTGATCACGCTGGAGAGCCGCCTTATCTATTTATGGGGCTCCATCGCACGTAAGGGTCTTAACATCCAACACAGTCACAATTTTAAATGAATGTGCACACAAAATGCAAGTTTCCGAAAAGGACTAAAGTGGGTTAAACAAATGATCGAACATCAGAAATTCCTCACGGAGTTTACAGCAAGATGACGCTAAGAAGAGAAAGGAGGATGATCAGAAGAAATACATTGCTTTTTGTTTTTGTTTGTTAATGAATACGCAAACCTGACCTCTAACACGGATCCAAGGTGAGATGCAACGTAGGCCAGTCCAATGGAGAGCAAGCCATAGAAAACAACTGAAACACAATTTATCACGTTTTTAAACATATAGGAAAATATTAACATATGTACATACAGACATGCATGTATACATACACACACGCACATGCACACACACGCTTATATAGTACCTACATACATAAGGACCAAATATATCAATTTATCTTCAAACATTTTTAAATGTCCCCACCTAAATGTTTCGTTGTGCCAGTGCGCCTGGTATCAGGTTTAAAAAAAAAAAAGTTTAGTTGCCTCTCCTTTCCAGGACGTTACAGAACCAACCCCAGCATTTATTGGCTGTTGTGGTTTTTTTAAAGCAAATTTTACGTTCAGTAGTTTGCCATTGCCTCTAAATGGTCAACTCTCGGAACCACTGTCGAGACCAGTAAAGTGAGTAAAGGACCATTTTCACGCCTTTAGGTGTATAGCGCATATAGGGCTAGACCTATATCTTGTATAGACCAATCGGCACAAGATGGGTGATGTGGTCAGCATCACGCCGGCCGCCTCTACTTCCAGGGAGTGCACCGGTACCCACTTAAGACTGGGCCGACCTGGGAGCCAAGGTAATTTAAAAAAAAAGTCCGGCTCCTCCAGGGAACGAACCCACGACCTTCCAATCCGCGGCGAGCGTCTAGCCGCTCCGCCACAGGGACTCCGACTGTCGAGACCAGCGCAAGACAAATTGTCCGCAGTAGGGATCGAACACGGCACCCTCGTATTACAAAGCGCGTTCTCAACGTCTAAGCCATAGACGCTATAAGGTAGCGAAGCTATTATCAGTCAAATCGTTAAATGGTACCAAAGGATATAGTTACCTATGCATTTTGACGTGATTGTAGACCTGAATTCACCAACACTACGTACACATGATTGCTGTAAAAGGTCTCGTAATGTGACTGCCGCTAGAGCATTCAATCCTGAAGACAAGGAACTAAAACAGAAAATGATAAGCACTAAATAAATACATATATAATCAAGATTATGCGAGGACTAAAATAATTCAATTAAACAGCTATATGTGTATTTACGTCTTTACGTGTAGCCTATGGTGTTCGAAGAACCATAATTTTAGACCATATATATTTTAGACTCAGTAAGACAAATCAATGTCCCACTTTCATCATCATGTAGCATTTCTTTTTCGCAATGTCGCTCTCAGATCATCTCAGTCCTCTACCAACTTTCCCGTCTTGTAAACTTTCATGGTTTGTCTGCGTTCACCGACTGTAAACTTCGGCGGAACGTCCTGGTTGTTCGTCCATTTTTAGGCTTTGTTTTTTTTTCTTCCTGGCACTAGTTTTGCTTATGCGTTTTACAGATTTGGTTTATTTGAATGCTGGGGATTTACCTCTCACACATATGCATGATAACTTCGGAAGAAACATCCTGAATTAGTTGTCATTTACTACATGCTAGTTTAGAAGGGAAAGGGGGTAAGTCGGTCTTTCTTCCCCCCCCCTCCTTTTTCCCCCAACGGGGCCTTGGAACCTAAATGGGCAATGTATACTCTCAGATCTAGAGTGTCTCCTATATCTGTGTCCACAATCGTGCTGGTGAAAAAGATCTCTCTCATCAAAAAAGTTTTCTATCTCTCAACATTCTTGTTGCACGGGTGGTAAGAAAAGGAACATGACCAATAGTCAGTGAATATTAAAATGCATCTGACACAGCAAACCGCTAAGTGAGGAACATTTTTTATTTTAAATCTTGAACGAAAGGCAACATGATTTAGCCTGCTGAGTTCGTTATTATCCCCAAACACGAAAATGGAAACAACAAGATGCAGTGGGAAAGAAAGAAGTCCAGAATTGTGTCGATGTTACTAGACACAGTAGCACAGGAAATAAATAAAACTTCAGAGCTGTGTCTATATTACTAGACACAGTAAGGCATGCAAATAAAAACTTCAGAATTGTATCGATATTACATGACACAGGAACGCATGAAAAAGAAAATTTCAGAATTGTGTAAATTTTAATAAACACAAACAGTAATGAGATAAAGAAAACTTCAGAACTGTGACAATATAACAAGACCCAGTCAGGCTTGAAATTAAAGACACGTTCGAACTGAGTCGATATTATGAAAGAAAGAAGACTTTCCAATTGTAATTGTCTATAACTGACAGAGTTGTATATCAACGTATGCCAAAGATGATTGGTTAAAAACGACAGTGGAGCAGTGTACAATAAACCTAATCATATTTACCATATTATTCATGATAAATATTATTGCTGTTTCACTTCCAAACAGTTGGGATATCTGTCTTCTAATATAATTTAGCTCCTTGACATCAAATTTAAAATACATTCTATAAAAGTATTCTCAATGTTATAATAAAATCCTTTAATAGTAAAAAAATATAACAAGTGTTCAACTAACCTCAAGCTTCCACTAATTACACAAGAAACAAAGATTCCAGGAAGACCCGGGTAATTGCCGAGAACATCCATTACATACAGAGGAACCAGCTATTTAAAAAAAAGGCAAATATCAGAGTCGTGAGTAGAATCCACATTTGTCAATTTAAACTTTGTTACAAAAATAAAAATCAAAGTAATATGACGCACTTCTTCTTCTTCTTCGTCTGCCTTTCTATCTCCAAATGGAGCATTGGCCCTCAACCAACTCACGCTAAGTCGTTCTATCCTTCGCCATTGCATGGAGCTCTCCCCCATATCCTTCCCATCTTTCTAGCTTCATTCTCCAGCTCTCTTCTCCATGTGTTTTTTGGCCTTCCTTTATTCCTATGCCCCTGTGGGTTCTAATGCAAAGACATTCTAGTTATGCTGTTCTCCTGTTTTCTCAGTGTGTGTCCTATCCAACGCCAGCGTCTTTTCCTCACCTCTTGGTCCACTGGAGCCTGTTTAGTTCTACATTAGCTATTCTATCATACCATTTAATTCCCTATATTCTGCGCAGGCACCAGTTGATGAATGTCTGTAATTTATTAGTTATTGCCTTAGTTGTTCTTCATGTTTCCGCCCCATATAATAGTACTGATTTAACATTAGAATTAAAAAAAAAATTTTTTTATGACGCACTGCACTCTGCTAAATATGTTCAACAAATGGTGCATATAATGTCTATCTTAGCCGAGTTAGGATCCGACATCACAGCACTTGGACCCAACGCACAAAAGCCAGTGCCAACTTCCAATTTCTGTGGTACCAATATCAGATTTTGTGTGTGTCCGTTATGCCTTTCCCCTGGGTGTTGAACGTCTGCCAGATTCCCTGGGTGCTGAACGTCTGCCAGATCCACTGGGTATTGAACGTCTGCCAGATACCCTGGGTGTTGAACGTCTGCCAAATCACCTGGGTGTTGAACATCTGCCAGATCCACTGGGTATTGAACGTCTGCCAGATACCCTGGGTGTTGAACATCTGCCAAATCCCCTGGGTGTTGAACATCTGCCAAATCCCCTGGGTGTTGAACGTCTACCAGATACCCTGGGTGTTGAACATCTGCCAGATACCCTGGGTGTTGAACGTCTGCCAGTTACCCTGGTTACCCTCCGCTGACCATTATACCCAGACCGCGATGATCTATTTATGCCTCCGCATTATTCACTAACTCCCAAAGGACCTATATAATATCTAGTTTGTCACGCATTGAGTTTTCTACAATATGGCACCCAGCAAGCCAGTGTGTCTATCTGTTAGTTTCTCCAAATATCTGGTTACCCTGGAGAAGGTACCAGGTGGTTATCGTCTTGTCTATATATATTATATATATATATATATATATATATATATATATATATATATATATATATATATATACATATATAAACAAGACGATAACCACCTGGAACCTTTGAAGCTATGCTTGCCACATTGCACGGATCATGCCTGTCTCCATCTTTCTCAGCAAGCTGTGCAAAGCCAGCCATCAAGAGAGCGCACGGCTACAGTACAGTGACTGCCTCCACGTTTATTTTCAATCTAGATGTTGAGGCATCACTTTTAAATAGCCACCAATGTATCATTTTAGTTGTAAATACATTATATATGTATGCTTGTACACTGCATGCTGTGTGAACAGATAAACAGATATATCAAATTAATGTTTTCTTTCTCCTGTTGTATGGTATAGATTTGGTTTGGCCATTTTGTTAGAATGCAGCAAGATCAAATACCATCACAAGCACTACATCTGAGAAGATCAGTTACAAGACCAAGAGGACGGCCGCGAAATATGGCTCGAGAACATTAATGACACTCTATGCCTTCACAGCATGACAAAGGCCAGTGGCAGCCAGCTTGAACTAGATCACAGATTAATCCTCCTCACGGTATTATACGACAGAAGTGGTTTATGATGATGATGAAAATAGTATAAATTGAAATCATAATGTATTTTCATTATAATACACTACGATTATCCATTACTCGCAACACGTACACCCACCAGACTACGGGTTGCTTCGTCACCGTTTTGTAGTTCCTCAGTATAACTGTGTTTTATGGCTTCACCCAGGAAGGCTGATCCGGACATCAAATGCCTGCAGAAGTCGGAGGTATCACACCCACGTTGTAAACGGGCACAACGCATTTACCTCTTCGTATAAACGAGAAAGAAGATACAGCAATACGGCTGAATGGCATCTCCGGATTTGTGGCTGTTTGATTCTCATCCTTAAGATGTTAATCTTACAGAATGCAAATCTGGAATTAAAAGGCGATGAGAAAGGGGGAAAGGGGGGGGGGGGGAACCTTACGTAATCTGGCAACCTATCAGCACCATCCTTTGTGTGCGGTTAGACGTCACACAAGGCTAGCATCGATTACTTCTAACTTTATTGCACACAACTCTCTCGATTTCTGACATTGAGTTCATCACAGAATATTTAGATTCTCGCAGTAATGTTCTTCCTAATGTTTCCCTTGAACGTCCTCTTTTTCTGAGACAGTTTGTTTCCGATTTCAGGGTTTGTTTTCTAATTCTTTGCTCATTTCGTCTCACAGTGTGCCCAATATATCTCCACCTTCTGGATTGTATTGCAGTCGATACAGGTATTTGTCCAGATATTTTTATCATCTCCTATTTTTTTCTTCTTAAATTTATCCAATTTTATGTTCAAGATTTTTCTGAAACATTTATTGTCAAATACATTGATCTTTCGTTCATATTTTTGGCAGTTCTCTAACTTTTGCTGGCTTATGTTAAAATAAAAAATAAAAAAAAAAACAAACATTAGATGTGAAGATTTGTAGTTTTATCTTAAATCTGTACAGCTTAGAGCTCATTTTTTGTTAAGGATTTTAAATACTGTTATTGCTTTGCCAGGGTGTATCATAATTTCTTTCGTTGTATCTCTCTTAGAGTCAAAATTGCTACCAAAATAAGTGGAATTGTCAGTTACTTTTATTAGATGGTTGTTTAGCCTGAAATTTACATGGTCAGTTGTTGTTATCTTTAATATATTTGTTTTCTAATAACGTATTTGTAGTCCTATGTTTGATGTTGTTGACCTCAAATCCTCAGTTTTTCTTTGCATTTCTTTGTTACTGTTTCTTAACGGAACAAAAGTATGCGAAATCCTGATCTTCAGTTGTCTAATCTCTAGCCAATCAACATTTTTTGCAACATTTCTTTTTCATTATCCAGTCAATGGCTAGTACTAATAATAGGGAAGATAGAATACAGCCTTGTTTATCTCCAGTTTCAACCAAAAGCCAGCCAAATAGGCAATTTTCAGTGCGCACTGCACATTCTAAACCAAAGAATAAATTTATAATAACGCGACGTATTTTGGCGTAGCATTCGCAAATTCCCTATAATTCAATTCTATTTAAGCTGTCAAAGGCCTTCTTGAAATGGATAACATTCAAGAAGATAAATTGTTGCTTCTTAACACATATTGCAAAAATAATACACAAGTGTATGAATCAATGGACTTGAAGAAAAGCTCACCTGATCGGTTTTGGCTACTAGACCGTATGTGATTGGATGACAGTCCGCATAAAATGCATACATGACAACACCAATCATGCAGCAGGCACTAACGATGAACGCCAGACCCGGCATGTTGATCCACATGGCTCTGTGACAATATCACAATAGTACAATAATTTAGTTGGGGCCATTGAGTAACATTGGGTGTTTATGGTTAGTTATATTTGTTACAGATCAGTCAGCATTCTTTTTTCTTCTTCTGTTCGTTTTGACTGTCCGTGGTTTTCAGATGATAAGTCAACAGGCCTGTATGAACCCTGCTGTGGTCATGTCCTCAACTGAAACACACATCCGGGTTTCCACAGAAAGGCTAACTCGCCAGACAAGAGATCACTTTACCACATGTAAAAAGTAGGTCTGCAGCAGTGTTGCCACTTTGGATGTTTTACATCCAGATTTAGATGTTTTCCCGTGCATTTAGATGACGTTTTTGACGTTTAGATGGTAGATGTTTTTCTAAATGTTTTTCTAGATGTTTTTCATTTGAAGTGAATTTATCAAATTTAACCTAAGAAACAGGATGAAATGTGACCTCTTAAATGCTATCTTGACAATAAAATTCGGCCTAAAAGAGTAGAAAAAGGCTGTTCCACTTATTAGCTCCCTGATTGGGTGTTTAAAGAAATTGGAACAGCTAAAACATACCAGAGTCATTTTAGATCTAAAGTTTTAACTTCATCATCCAAGCTAAGTTTATCCTGTGGATCTTGTAAGGCAGACTTCAGTAAAGATGAGGACATGATTCTATAGGGTAAGTCATAACAACTGCTATGTAATTTGTGACTCTTTCCATTTGGATGTTTGTTCTAGATGTTTTCTACGCAAAGTTAGATGTTTTAAGTTTTTTTTGGGGACTCCGTTTTGGATGTTTTTTGTCAAAGAAAAGTGTCAACACTGGTCTGCAGCAAACGTTTAGCAATCGCCGGCTTAATCAGCGTTTAGTTCAGTTAGTCATTTATTCTATACAACACAACACAACACAACACAACATACACACACGCGCGCGCACACACACAGACACGCGCGCCCGCGCACGCACACACACAACACATTAAATCAACGTCAGCACTAAATGAATAGTTAGCTTATGTGTAAAGGTTACAACTAATTATTTCACAAAGCTGACGGAGAACAGTTCTTACATCTGAGCTTTACGGACTGTTGAACATGACAGACAACGTTGAACTTGAGCTTGGTTGACTCCGTATAAGTGCATCCAGAATGCCCATCCACCAAACACCATAGACCACACAGAATGGCGAGTTTTTGGATCCAAACTGAAACTACAAATAGTATATGTTCTCAGTGCAAGCGTATTTCTAAACTAACACAATGTTTCGCCGCGGACATTTGAACAACGATAGATTTATTGCCCAGGATATCTCATTGTATATCTTCAGGTGCATACAATAGAAACAGAAAATTTAATAAAGCAAATAAATGAATCCTTCTAATTGAAACACAAAATCAGTTACACTCGCTACACATCAACCGGTTGTGCGAGAGCATATTCCGGGGGTCACGGTCATGTTTTAGTTTTGTCGGCACAAATTAGTTCATTGGCCGGCCATCATCATCGCCAATCGAACATGTCCGTAAGACAAGATTACATCTTTAACATCTCCCTCTGCTGTTGGTTTTTTTTTTTTTTGGTTGGTTTAGTATTCTTCTTTGGCTATCTGTGTAGTGTTCATGTCTGACGACACCTCCCTTGACATGACGATTTTGTAGTTTTGTCAAGATTGTCGATTCACCCTCGTCTACTTAATCCTTTACCCCGTCGTCTCACTGAGAACATCGCTCCAGCATACTAACCTGCCTGTGCCTACCGTGCCCAGGCCAGCAAGCCAGACAGCTCGTTCATGCCCTCTGACCTCAGAGTGTCCTGCACAAACAGGAAATGTAATCCTGCCAGACAGGATTTCCCCAGAGACTCCAGCTATTGTCTTCTATCCTATCATGTCTCTGTCTTCTTAAAGTATATTCATAAAATCGAAAGCACGCGGATGGAAAATCTTTACCTCCTGCCAGATCATTGCTTTTGTTACCGTTAGCATCTCATTTGTCTAAGTAAAAACAACATTATCTTCCTTAAACAGTTATCCCTCCAATTAAAACTGCGAAAGCCCATGAGCATCGGTGTAAATAGTAAAGTCCCTTAGGCGATACGGGCATATGTGAAGAGCATCCATATTTTTACAGACCAATCGGCACTCGGTGGGTAATGTGGTCAGCATTACACCGGCCGTCTTTACTTTCCCAGGACAGCCCATCCTGGTACCCATTTGAGGCTGGGTCGACCTGCGACGTCCCATACCACGATAAAAATCCACGCAGCCCACGCAGGTTTCGATCGCGGTACGTTGGATTACGAGTCAGACTCGCAACGCCTTAGCCACGGACGCCGTATCGGTGGAAATAACTGCACCTTTATGAGCAGAATTTTCAAGAAACAAAGCTTGAACTTGCGCCTCCACCACCAACGGGGTTTGTTGACTGCGGTCTCTGTCCAGTTTTACACATACTGAGAAGGATGTACACCACTCTGCTAGCATTAAAAACCCTTCCTGGCCAGGTTCTTTGTCCCTAAGTAAACAGACCGGTTAAATAATGCTCTCGTCCTAACCTATCCAAAATGTTCCGCTCTTCAGCCTGCTACCCATCTCCCTGCAAATCTCACTGTGCGAGGCAGATCGTTGTTCTCACTTCCATGGTTGGAAGATAAGGAAAGTCGCCCTGCTTGACGTATTCTTTGTGCACCCCAGTATGATAAATGACATTACTGATATTAAGGTTTCCACTTAAAAAAATGTATGAGTTGAGTTGAGTCAAGAATTGATATCAGCACTCGTGACATTCCCATGCGTGCTCCGTCCTCATCTTCAGCACCCAGGACAGAGTTCCAATACCGATGGCACCGGTCACAATCTGGTTATATGTCCGTCCTGCTCTTCTTCTGAGTGTAGTGAGCCGGCCAGACCCTCTGGTTACACCCAGGTGCCTCATTCTCTCCAGGCCATAATAATATTTTTTCTCTACTTTTTCTATTGCTTCACCACATCTGCCTTGTCATGTTTCAATTCACCACCCAATGGTGCAGATCCAGCCAATCTGCCTGCCTGTTCATTACCCACCACGCTAGCATGGCTTGGAGAAAGTATGGTCACCACCCGTGACCTTTCTAGTGAAGCTTGCCACTCTGCTCGAGGCATTCCTGTCTTCACCTTTCTCAGCATGCTTTCAGCCTGTTACAAATACGACATGTGTATGCATCTTGTTCTCTAGCGACCGGAGAGCAGCAGTTACCGCCTCCACCTCCATTCTCTTGCTAGATATTGTAGTGTCGTATACTAGTCTGTCTTGCACTAAAGATTATCTATCGGCTTTCTCTACGAACCCCCCGGCATTTCTCTTTCCTCTTAACACCGAACCATCTGTATAGATAATCAGATCACCTGGGCGTAAATTGTCGTGAATCAACTGTTGGACTTCCACCTCCATAGTACCCGCTGGCCACTCTCTGCACACCCGGCTCATTGTGATCATGAAACTACACAGGTCAGACTTTTCCGCTGGTACTCTGACCCACTCCTCTCCTCGCCCAATGTTCTCCAGCATGCATACTTGTCTTATTGTGTCTTCTGCTTGAGCCATCCATGATTTTCCCCTTTTCAGCCTCTGACCCTTATCAGCAGACATAGCTTCAAAAAGAGGGTGTTGTTTGCCTGCAGCTGCTCCGATGTATGCCTTAGCCTGCAGAACCTTTAGTATATCTGCAATAGTCGGCAATGCAAGGATGTATCGCATGCACACAATCGGGGTGTCTCTTGTACAACCCCGGATCAGCCGCATAGCTTCATTTTGTATGCGATAGAGTTTCTCTAGCTGACTTTTCGAGAAATTGAACAACCCCGATCCAAAATTAATCACTGAGATGATTAAGTGCTGGTAAAGTGTGAACAGTATTCTTTGCTAAATGTCCATCGCTGGCCTAATCTTTAGTGCATTTAGACCTTTTTGAACCCTTGTCACAACCCCCTCTATGTGATTCTTGAAAATATTGTATATTATAATCAAGTATGTGTAAAACGATGTCACTTATACTATTAAAATAAACATCCTATAAAAAGAAGATATTAAAAAAATTAATAAAAGACCCAGTGGAGTTTTTTTCATATTTGTTTTTTTTGTGTGTAAATTTTGTAAATTTTATTTTTAATTTTAGAGAAACATAAGACAAGTTAAACAACTTAAAAGACCTGTCACAGTGTGAGGCTATACTTTATTAACATATATGCATCTGTATTCTCTTCATGTCTATAACATACAAAGTTGTTACAAGCGATCTCCATTGCTGCCCTTCTACTGCTTTTCTGCCTGTGGTATCCCTGGTAATTTTAAATTCCTTCATTTCTCTTTCCACTGTCCGTCTCCAGATTTGCATAGATTATAAATGTCTCCATTTTCCATCTGCCGTCCACAGCACAATTCAAAACCAGATGAGATAAATAAAGACCAGAAACGTCACCAGGAATATAGCGGACAGGGCAGAGAGCAGCAATTTTCTCTGACCCTTAGCTGAAAGTGGTCACCGTTATATGATTGATTGATTGATCTGCCCGTCCATCTGAGAGTTTTCCTTGCCAAAGTATAGTGAGGCATTCTGCAAACATGACCAAGCCACCCCCCCCCCCACCTCAACCCCACCCTCTTTCGTTGATAATGTTTGTCAGTGATAAACATTTTATTTGCCTCCTCAGAAAACAAAAATACTTACTTATCAAATCTAATCCTGTCATTCGAATATGCTGTTTCCCAAGCTTTGACGAAGCCTCCCTGCACGATCGATCCCTGAATTAGTACAGCCAGGAGACCAGCAACGATTACACCAGCTTGAAATGTGTCCGTCCACACCACTGCCTTCATACCACCCTGGAATTTTAAAAATAAAAGAAAAAGCAAACTTAGTTACACATCCTTTTAGAGGGTGTTTGCAATCCAACCCTAGCATCTATCTTAACCTAGTTTAATTAGGTGCTTTTTAATTTCAGTAGTTTGTCATTGCCTCCTTAACGGCAGGCTGTCCATATCATTGTCAAAATCAACGCCATAAAGCCGGTCGCTGATAACTTGGAATCGCGTTGGCCACACCACTTCCCCAATCAACAGACACCAACTGGAAGTAATACAGTAGAACCTCGCTTAACGAGCACCTCATTACGAGTAATTGGCATAACGAGCAAAACAAATTGCAAAAGAATAACTTGCTTAACGAGCGACGTTTCGCATAACGAGTGGCGAGGAGAGGGGATTGTGAGCATGTTAATCAGTATGTGTTTAGCACTCGTTCCAGTAGCATCGTAGTGTCGCTTGTGATCACACATTTTCTCAAACTTGTGTTATATAGTGATATATGTACATTAATCCTCTAGGCCTACAATATGACCTCCCTAAAGAATTTAAGTTCTTCAAGATCCAGTTTCTGCCTCCCAACACCACTCCGTTACTACAGCCCATGGACCAGCAAGTTATTCCTAACTTTAAGAAGCTCTACACTAAAGCATTCTTCAAGCATTGTTTTCAGGAGACCAGCCTCACTCTCAAAGAGTTTTGGGGAAAAAATCACTTCCACATTTCCTGCCTCAAGATGATCGACAAGGCGGGGGGAAGAAGTTAATAAGTAAATAATAATTTCTGCTTGGAAGAAGCTTTGGCCAAAGTGCGTTGTCGATTTATGACTTTGAGTGGTTCGAGACAGTACCTGTGGAACCTGTAGTCAACTAGATTGTATCTTTAGCCCCTATCATGGAATTTTAGGTGGATAACAGTGATGTCTAAGAGCTTGTGGAAGAGCACAGCCAAGAGCTGACCACCGAAGAGCTTATGGAGTTGCATTGTGTTTCACAGCAAGAAGTTTTGGAGGAAAGTTTGTCAGAGGAGGAGGTAACAGAAAAGCAACAATTTTCTGGCGAAATAAGAGAAACGGTTGCATCTTACATTGAGAAGCATCACCCTAATAATGAAGTGGCTATGCGCGTTGCAAATTTATTTACTGATAAATGTCTCTGGACATCTTTCTAGTAAACAAATAATTAGCTATGCATCATGATTTTTTCGACATTTTTCTTTCTTTCTGCAAATCGAGGTGGGTTCGTTCCGCGTATAAAGAAAAGATGAAGATGACTCACTCTCCTTAACAATATGTATAAAATTTTCTTTGAATAAACATTATACATAGAATTTTGTGAGTATTTTATTTTTCGACATGGAACGTATTATCGTATTTTACATTAATTTATATGAGAAAAATTGTTTCGCATAACGAATGTTTCGCTTAACGTGTATGATTCTGGAACGAATTATGCTCGTTAGCGAGGTTACACTGTACTGTTCGTACTAATCAATCCGCTAACAACTTTTTGCAATGTCGTCATTAAGGGTAAATGACTCAATTATTGAAGAGGAAAACATGTTCTACAAGCACACAGTGTGGGAAATACAGATATAATGAAGGTCACAAGACCACTGCTATTTTTCTATTATTTCCATACTCTGGTGCAGTGGTTTGCATTGGAATCCATATGCCTAAAAGGCAAGGAACCAACTGTCTGCGTACACATAGGCAAGATTTGTAAAATGGACGTGCATGCAAAACTCAAGTTCTGGAAGAAAACAAAAGTACAGAAGTGGACAAACAACCAAACTTTCTGATGCAGTGTACAACAATTGAACGTTAAGAAGAAGCAGAAGAAGAAGCGGTCTGTAACCAAATTGCCTGCAGCTGACTTTAAATCCCGGTATAAGAGGATTGTGAAACTGCCTTGCAAATCCTTAGCCACAGATGCGACATAATGCAGGAAATAAGTGTGTTAAAAAAAAAAAAAAACATCAGTAAAATCATTTTCTTTATAACAATCGTTTACCAACGTAAAACTTGACTAAAAATGATTAAACATCATTAAAAACAAAATTACTGCTAGCTGATCTAAGATTTGCATTGGCAAGGCAACAGAAACTTCAAAAAAAAAAAAAAAAAAACTAAACAAAATCTGTAAATCGAATTGAAATGCCTTCAAAACTAAGTTACGTATTTTAACTTCTAATGTTTTTTAACTTGTAACATATGCCTAATAAATCTGGAGAGTCACTTGATACATGAAAAGAAAGTTAAATGCATTCGAAAATGGAATTGACGAAGATTACGTAGGGTAAATTCAAGACAAACCATTAACTAGGAGAAAAATCTGGACAACCGCTTTGCATCAATAATAATAAGATAAAGCAGATGGCGATGTATTCTGCGAATATTTAGGGGAGAAGAGGTTAGAGAATCATCGAACAGGCACTTAAATGCGAAACATTTAGACTCAGACGAACGTTGCTGATAGACACCAAAAGTGCTGGACTGATTTACCTTCTTGATATTGAAATAATTGCACAGGAGAGAAAGAATTGAATAATAAATTGCGAAACCTACGTGAATGATAGGATGATGATAATAATAATGCAAGATTTATAAAGTTTGGCCGCCCGGCTCTCTAGCGTAGTTGGCTAAACCGGATTGCGCGGAGACCGGGTAACAAACTCCTTGTGGTCCGGGTTCAATCCCGGGGGTAGGCAGGAAAGCCACATTTTCTCCCAGATTTACGGTATTTACAATTGAATCAAGGCCGAGAGTTGCGATATCCATAATACCGAGCCTAAGGGTTAACAACTAATGGCTTCTGGATACTAAAACAAACACACAAATTGTCTATTGGCCTAAGTTCGGATTGTGTTTTGTAACACATGATTTGTCACGTGACGCATTTAACACATTCAGTAACACAGTTGCATTGACAGCAGAAGTAGAAACGACAAGCAACTTTACCACTGTGGTGTAAAATGTCACCACGCATCCCATTCCGACTACTGACCCCCACAAGTGTACACCAGTCACTGAAAAAAAAAAAAAAAAAAAGGAAAAGCAGAAGAGAATAATCATTTCTAAAACGTGCGCGTAACAGTATTTTCAAATAATTAGTTGTGTATCCGTTATATTACGTTGCTGAACCAACCTTAGCATTTCCCAGCTGTTCTGTAGCTTTACTAGTCCACTTGACGATGACTAGTATGGCACTGCTAGCTGAACGGTCAGCGCTCTATACACTACCTCCCACCCCTCCCCCACCCACCCCAACCACCGACCAAAAAGAAACAACATCAAACAGTCAACCCCCACCCCCAACCACGCGCTCCTAACCATCTTACACATTTTCTAGAAAATCGATCAATTGGATGGCGGTGGAATCTCACGTCCCTGCGTGCCACATGCAAAACAACCCCCCTCCCCTCCTTTCCCCCCCAACTACCCAATCGTGTAAGGAGGTAGGATGACCCCCAGCCCAGTAATTTTATTATGGCTAAAAAGCTTCCCTGAACCACACATAGATATTATCTTTTACAGATTTTTTTTCTATATTTTATATTATTTCAGATATATTATTAAATGTATTCGCCGTTGAACAGATTATTATTATTATTATTATTATTATTATTATTATTATTATTATTATTATTATTATTTTTATTATTATTATCACAATATCACTATAGTAGCATACTTAAAATACTATGAAATGTATGATGTATATATTGTTAAAAAACATGTCTATACATGGTTAAAACAGGTCTATTATGGTAGGTTGAGGCTTCCCCCCCCCCCCCCCCCCCCTATCCCTACCCTCCCAACTAAAATGTTTTACTGAACTAAGCGGACTGCTTAACCATATTTACAGGTTCTCTGTTTAAGTGTCTGGTTAAACTCAAAACAATGTTTTCCTGTTGGGAAGTTTAACAACTCTTTTTACCTGCGTTCAGTGCCAAGGAAGGAGCATACAGCAAAAAGGCCATGTAGATTAGCTGGGGATGTATAATGCATATATAATATCATGTGTGCAAATATATTTTTATTTATTTTTTAGGATTTCCGGTCAAACGACCCACAGCCAGCTGACAGCTAATACTCTGGACAGTTATATCTTTCCAGTTAAGTTTTGCTGGTGCAAATTCCCATTTCTGGATCGGGAATTCGAAGGTTCCGTCGCCAAGCTACTGAATAAGCGCTTGGTGCGACACTGTGAACTGCGGATTTCATAAGAATTCTTTTTCACCCTAGTATCTGCGGCGTGTTGTTGACTGCACTAATATGGTGTGTGTGTATGTGTGTGTGTGTGTGTGTGTGTGTGTGGGCGCGCGCGTGCGTGCGTGCGTGTGCGTGTGTGTGTGCGTGTGTGTGTATTCCTCCGCAGTACTCCGAAGCCTCGAGGTTAATTGCTGCCAGAAATCTTCCGCCTCCATTCATCTCAGTGACTTCTGATTCCAGCTTGTGACTCCAGGTATTTGAAGGCCTGCCTAGGTTTATTGTCTCTACACGGTCTACTTGGTTTCCCTCGTTGTCTGCTCTTATCCAGCTCTGTTGTGTTCACAGTTTTTGTCTCTCTTTTTACTGCCATTACCTCTCCATGCCCAAACCACTGCAACTTGTTAGCCACAATAATGTTAATTTTCACACACACACACACACACACACACACGCACGCGCGCACGCACACACACACACACACACACACAAATGGCTAGCAGCCTCTTTTCAGCCTGTGACTCTTATCTCTCTCTACCCAGGGCTTCAGGCAGGAGGTGCTTCTTGTTGCAGCTACTCTGAGATATGACCTTGCTTACAAAAATTTAACCCTATCTGCAATAGTAAGTAGTGCAAGTATATATCGCATACATACTACTGGGGTATCTCTTGTACATCCCAGAATTACCCGCATGGATTAATTATGTATGCATTCAAGTTATATCAGCTGACTCTTTGATTTAATTAGCATTCATAGACCATGAAATGTCACTGACAGGATCACATGCAGGAACATTGTGAACAACATTCTTTCTTCCATGTCCATTGCTGCATTGAGTCATTTTTTGGCATTTCAACGCAACTGCCTCCACATGATCACTAAAGGAGAGGCTTCTATCAAAAATGATACTCAGGTACCCCAGTTTGCTTTCTGTTTTGATGTTACTGTTAATAATTGTTACTGTTATTAATTATTAATTATTATTGCTCACCAAATTTCAAGAAGATACTTTACTATTTATTCAGTCAATCATTACAAACAAAATAGAAGCCAAGTTCAGGTAGGACTATTAGGGACTCACTGACTTTCTACCCCACCAGGACATCACACAAACGATAAACACCCGATGACACAATGTTCCACCATGTGGATGAGGATCACCGTGGAGAGGTCCCAGAAACCGCGTTCAGCTATTAGGCTATATTACCCACCGAGTGCCGATGGGTCTGTAAAAAATATGGGACGCTCTGCCCATATGCCCGATGCGCCGAAAGTCGTGAAAAGCGATCTTTACTTTACTTTTTATGGCCTGGCTATATAGTGGCCCCCGGCAAGAGCCAGGGTGGAGCTTCAAATAACGAAAAATTTCGTCCTAAAAAGGACCGCGAATTACATCGACTCAAGACTATTAGGATTGACTGACTGACTTTCTACCCCACCAGAACATCAAACAAGCGATAAACACCCGATGACACAATGTGCCACCATGTGGATGAGGATCGCCGTGGAGAGGTCCCAGAAACCGCGTTCAGCCATCAGGCTATATTGCTGCCCCTGGCAAGAGCAGAGTAGGGCTTCAAAAAACGAAAAATTTCATTATAACAAGGATGGGAAAATACCTGGTAAACTATTAGGGTTGAATGCAGAAGAAGTACATTTATAAGTATTGTTATAAAATTTTAGTAACATTAACAGAATTAACTTATTATGCTTAAACTAAGTAGCTGAGCAATCTTACTGTTTGAACAATCAAAATCACTGAGCCAATGACTCTAATCTCTTTGTTGAATCTCATGTGAAGGTACTGCAGATGTTAGAAAGGTAATTTTTAAGAACATGTAAATTATTACATAAAACATGTCAATAAAAAATTAAAAAAAAAGACGTTATTCGCGGCATTGCAAATTGAGTATATGTTGCTAGACTCGTGGATATATGAGTTACATGGGGGAGCAGTCTCGGCGGCCCAGCGCTCTGAAGGTCATGGGTTCGTTTCATAGAAGCCTCGTTCAATTCACGAGTGCAGTTGTTATCAATACTCCTGACAATCATCGCTACGGGGCCAGTGATGTGTGCCTCGTTCTCTGTCTACAGGCCGCAGCTTTTCTGTGGAGACAGACCAAGTCACACGGGATAATACCGGATGCAATAAAGTATACCCTATCTATTTTAATTGTTAGGACAGATCGTGTCACACAGGATAATACCTGATGCCATAAAGTATACCCTATCTATTTTAATTGTTAGGACAGATCATGTCACACAGGTTAATACCTAAGGCATTAATATGTATCATATCTATCTTAACTATTACGACAGATCATGTCACATAGGATAATACCTCACGCAATAAAGTATATGCTCTCAATCTTAACTGTTAGGACATATTCTGTCACATAGGTTAATACCTGATGCAATACAATCTATCCTGTCTATCTTAACTATTAAGACAGATCATGTCACATAGGTCAAAACCTGATGCAATACAATTTATCCTGTTTATCTTAACTATTATAACACATAGGTTAATACCCGATTCAATAAATCTATCCTTTCTGTCTTAACTTTTAGGAGAGATCAAGTCACTTTTTTTTTCATAAAGATTGATGCTCTAGGTAAGTTTACCTAGAAATAGATAGAGCTGAATTATCAACTGTCTATTACTGAAAGAGATAATTAATTATTAGGCTACTATAGCACTTTTTCTCGAATTATTTAGATGTCTTACACTTTGCTGACTACATCACCCATCTTGTGCCGATTGGTCTATAAAAATATAGGGTGTAGCCCTATATGCCCTATACGCTTAAAGGCTTGGGAAAGGGACCTTTACTGTTTTACTTTACTTTCAGTTATAAATATGAACATAATTCACTCACCTCAAAAACGCTCTCCACTTTTAGATTGTAGAAGAAAGGGATGAAAATGCGCGTTGTGGACCACATAGCCAGGACCATGCCAACAATGATCCACCACCACATCGTATCAAAGTTGTACACTTCTGCGGGATTTCCCAGAAGCGTCATGGCTGACATAAATGTGACCATCAGGGAGAAGGCCACGGGAATGGGGTTCATAGATTGTCCTCCCAGCAGAAATTCTTTGGTTGTATTTTTGTGTCGATCTACGAACGCGTAGAAAATGCCAATGCTACAGGAAATCAACAGGGTCAGGACGAACATAACGTAGTCTGTGACACCGAAGAGGGGAATTATCCCTGTATTTTTACTGTATTGCTTATCCATGATCAATCAAGAGTTCCTTAGGCTGTGGAAAAAAGACAGTATCACTCATATATACAGAAATGACTAAGAAAAGGAAGAAAAAAAGTGTGGCGTATTAGCTGGGGCACGGCCTTCCTGTGAGAGGTTAGTTAGTATATTAAATATTATTTTCATCCACTTACCCAGAGCTCCGAAATATCTTGACACTTTTTATCCACAGTGTAGTTGCACTATTTATGAACAGTCAGTATGAAAGCAATATCGTGTATATCCACTTCCCAATATCCGCTTGTCGATTTGTAATACGAATACATTCAGAACACATAACTTCGTAATCGCATTAAAATGTCACACGATGCAACACCTGGAAAGGGCTTCCAGTAACCAGTTTCCGAGGGACTCCTTTCAAAAGTGGGTCATTTAGTTGTTAGGCACAATTAGAGACTGCGTTGGCTGGGGAAACGTATTGTATTTAAGCTGAGACTCAGAGGGTTCTGGGACACCAATCTCTGGATAAAAGAATAGACCCACTGTCTCGTTAACAAGCTTGTCGTAAGAGGCGAATAATTAGAGGTTTACCAAAATCGAATGTGTTGGACCGAAAGACGCCGATGTTGCAGTTTAGCTATCCGCCACCAAGGAGACTAAGAAGCCCGCAATGACTCAAATCAAAACTGTGTGGTATATTCGCTGGGGAAATTTGTTTTACTCGTATTTATGCACACTTGGTGGATACTGAGAGCCGCGGTGCTGGATAGTGAGAGCTACAATTCTGGATACTGGGAGCTGCGCTTCTGGATAGTGGGAGCCGAAGTGCTGGATACTGACAGCCGCGATGTTGGATAGTGGGAGCCACGATTCTGGATACTGGGAGCTGCGTTTATGGATATTGGGAGCCGAAGTGCTGGATACTGGGAGCCGCGGTGCTGGATAGTGGGAGCCACGATTCTGGATACTGGGAGCTGCGTTTATGGATAATGGGAACCGAAGTGCTGGATACTGGCAGCCGCGATGTTGGATACTGAGAGCAACATCTACACAGTACACACACTGCAGAACCAGCGAACAATCAAATATAAGTTTACTGGAATGACATCATCATCCTGTAACAGGTCATTTACAGAACGTCGCTCTCATCACGGTCTGCCTGAAAGAAACTCGGTCTCTCCAGCTAGTCCTCGGGCACTACATTACACAATGTGTCACTTATATCATGTGCTCATCTGCGTATTGGTCGTTCTTGCCCAAGGTGTCTCTTATATTCTCTGCACATCTTCGTTATGGTCGTTATTGACCAAGGTATCTCTTATATTCTCTGCACATCTTTGATATGGTCGTTCTTGACCAAGGTATCTCTTATATTCTCTGCACATCTTTGATATGGCTGTTCTTGCCCAAGGTATCTCTTATATTCTCTGCACATCTTTGTTATGGTCGTTCTTGCCCAAGGTCTCGGTCTGGAAATGAAAGAGCTGACAGGTTGGCTGGATCCGCTATCACTACCGACGGTCGGCCTATGGATCATGCTGATATTATCAATGCTCTCAGAGAAATGGAAAGGATAGAGGACTTTGGTGGCAGTGAATCCACATCACTCGCCAGAATGGCAGACTTAGGAATTAAGATCGACATAGCAAAAAACGAGATGCACACCGGACACGTCAGAAGACTTGTTAATCAACATAGAACTGGTACTATTAGCCATCGGACGTTGGGGTTCATACTGAGGGGAGGATCTGAGCACCTATGGACATGTCCGGAGTGCAATGATGATAACCCAACTAACTAACTAACTAACTAACTAACTAACTAACTAACTAACTAACTAACTAACTAACTAACTAACTAACTAACTAACTAACTAACTAACTAACTAACTAACTAACTAACTAACTAACTAACTAACTAACTAACTAATTTGCCCAAGATGTCTCTTATATTCTCTGCACATCTTTGTTATGGTCGTTCTTGCCCAAGGTTTATCTTATATTCTGTGTACATCTTCGTTATGGTCGTTCTTGCCCAAGGTATCTGTTATATTCTCTGCACATCTTTGTTATTGTCGTTCTTGCCCAAGGTTTATCTTATATTCTGTGTACATCTTCGTTATGGTCGTTCTTGCCCAAGGTATCTATTATATTCTCTGCACATCTTCGTGTTGGTGAGCCGCTGCCTATCTTTAATGGTCCAATGCCTTCTGTCACTATTCTTTCTATGCACCTTGGCGCTTGATTTGGCAAAATAGTCGATTCCGAGACAAGATGTTGACTAGCCAATCTTTCTTGATGATCAGATCTTTTAGGATGTCAGTATTTCTTCTTTTTTGGGGAGGGGGGGGGGGTTTGGTGGGTGGGTGGGGGTGGGTGTGGGTCAATGATATTCTGAGAGCCTTTCTATAATTTCGGCCACAAAGTTTGTACTTTCTTCCTTAATGACTGTGAGATAGTCCACGACTGACATCCGTGTGTTGCCAGAATGAAGATTAAAACCCTCATCATCATCATCATGTAGCAAGTCCTTTGCCCTCATCACAGTCTGCCTGAAAGAAACTCGGTCTCTCGCCAGTTCTCCCGCCTCATGTACTTTCACACTCAAGGAGTCATATCCTGTGCCCATCTTCGTGTCGGTCGGACCCCTGCCCCTCCTTCCTTGTTTCATGCCTTCTGCTATAATTTTTTTCCAATCCGTCGTGGCGCTTGATTGACGAAAATATTTAAGCTTTCGAGAGAGGATGCTGTTTATTAGCCAATTTTTCTTGATGTTCAGATCTTTTAAGATGTCAATATTTCTCATCTTCTTTGTCCAAGATATTCTGAGAATCTTTCTATAAAATTTAAGCTCAAAAGCCCCTATTCTCTTTCTCAAGGACTGAGAGATAGTCCTCGACTCACATCCATATGTAGCCACAGGGAAGATGCATGCTCTCAAAATTCTAATTTTGATCTCCTTGCTGGTGCCTAACCATAGACTTTTAAGGCTGTTCAATCTTTGTATTTCTATGGCCATTCTCCTTTTAATTTCTGTCGAACAGTCTCCACTGTTGTTTATTATAGAGCCTAGATATTCAAAGTTTGTGACATTTTAAATTTCTTCATCATTAATTTTTTTTTTTTTTTGGGTGACAGCCAGTTTTATCTGTAGACATTATTTTCGTTTTCTTTAAATTCAAGAACAGATTTTGATCTTCGCTGTGCTTTTGGACAGACAATATTAAATTTTCTATTCCCTTTACACTGTATGAAAGGAGGACTGTGTCATCTGCGTAGCGGAGTTCCGGAATAGGGTTGCCACCAAAAATTTGATTTCCACGCTGGTGCTTAGCTATACACTTTTAATGCTGTTTAATGTTTGTATTGATCTGACCATTCTCCTTTTGACTTCTGTTGAACAACCTCCATTTCTGTTTATAATGAGTGATATATATTCAAAGTTTCTGAAATTTGCAATTTCTTCATCATTTACTGCAATCACACATTTTATACATCTCAACATTTTCAGTCTCAAGCAACGTGTGATGCTTAATTAGCACTGCTGTGAATCCCACTCAACGTGTATATATTTTTTAAATCTGGCTTCTCTAGTATTTAGCGTCTTTGAAAACAATACACTGGGAGCACCCCCTCCCCCTTTTTAATTTTAAACTTTTGGAATCTCTGTTAAAACAACTTTCTGGTACTCAAGGAGTTAAGAGGCTTCGATCTCTATGAGGATATAACATTCAGTGTCGCTTTACAAGCCTATACTATTTACGAAAAGGTTTCGAGAGAGCAATACAGTTCTGTAACTTACGTGATTTGTGTATGTTCACTGAATACAGCCTGGCTCAGTTTTTCAGCTGCCAGACGAATCAAAAATGCACAACGATTACACAGCGCTGCCACACATTACACACGTTGCGGATCCAATTAGTTACAGGGCCAGACATGGACACGCACATAAAAGACAACTTAAAAAAAAGTTTCCACCTAGAACCGTGAAGGCAAATGCGATCAAACAAAACACGTGCTTCTAGCAGATTACCATAATTAACTGTGTAAAGTATGTGACGTGAAAGTTGTATCAGTACATATATGGCGGTCAGTGAATAACAGCAAAGATAAAAAGGGTCACTACTTCCGGGGTTCCAGTCTACGGGGGAAAAAAAGAGGGAAGATGGGGGGGGGGGGGGTAGGGGGGGGGGGGTAGACCCAGTACAATTTAATAAGTTTGTTGTAAAAGATGACTAATTAGGGCTTTGAGAAAATGATAAATGTATGGGCAACCACTAGTATCAACATTTATAAGACAGAGAACATAGTACTATAACATAACATAACCCTTGACCCATTAGGATCGTAGAGGTGTATTGATGGAAGCACTAGCACATAAAACCCGCCATCTATCTCTGTCTTCAGCTTGATGAATAAGTATATAATAACTTAGCCCTGTCCATTTCTTGATGTTGTCATTCCAGTTTCTTCTTTGCCCTCCTCTTCTTCGACTACCCCCAATGTTCTTTGAAGTTTAGTCTTTGCACTCAAATCATATCTCACTACATGCCCAAACCAAGCTAGTTTGCGACGTTTCACCACTGCCAAGAGAGGCTCCTGATGTCCCGCAAATTTGTATATTTTGGCTCCGACATATTTATTAGTTTTGTTTTCTAATTCCCTAATTCGTAAAAAGAGTCTAATACTATATTGGACACATACTGATAAGAAACAATAAGAGAATCACCCAACAGGCATTTGTCGGAAATTAAGGGATTAATGAGGCGAGGACGCACAAAAGAAACCCTAAAAAAAAAAAAAAACGTTGATGAGGGAGGCCAAAGCTGCTGGAATGAATTCCATCCGTGATATTGAAATAATTGCATAGGCTAGAACGGAATGGAAAATAGGAAAAATAAACTGCGAGCCATATGTGCCAACATATAAGGGCACATCAGGACAATGAATGAATGAATAAAACATGAAATGTTCATGTGCTTTCACCCATGCGTGCCATAACAAAATTTTGCTAAAAATCTTCTGTAGTTTTTA